CTTTTCTGTTTTCACGTTAATCCCACGTAGACAAGTTTTTAAGTAAGTCTCTTAAAAACTTGTCTACGTGGATTAACGTGAAAACAGAAAAGCTCTAAGTCTGAGCTTTTCTGTTTTCACGTTAATCCACGTAGACAAGTTTTTAAGTAAGTCTCTCGGATTAACGTGAAAACAGAAAAGGTTTTACAAGTGGAACTTATATTATTTGTAAAAACTGTTGAACTTTAATGGAAATAAGAATCTGAACTGCTGGACAATAAAACCAAACTGGTCCATTCGCCTTCTTGACAAGAATATTTTGTTTAAAAATGAACCAACCCAGAAAAATAAAGTTTTATTGATAGAGATTTTTCGAATATAAATAGTAACTGTGAACTATTTAACAGTGGGCATGTTGCAAAAGAATAATTTCCGTGCGTACCAAAGTTAATCATTATTCGGCAATGATTGCAATATTTATTAAGCTGTGTGTGCTTATAACTACATATAGATGGAGCCACAGACAATTCCGGTGTAATTCTATCCACACTACCAGCAACAACGAAAAAGTAAGTGTTTGCCATTTGTGCTTGTTCTAGAATTGCAAATAATTTTGTTGGCTTTGGATCTATTTTGAATTGATTCAGTAATTCTTCTACTAAGAGAATGACCTCAGGTCAGTCACAGATATGAAATCATTATTGGTCGATGTAGTTTTATTAATTAGTCACAACATATAAAAAGTGTTAACATCACCACAGAGGTTTCATGTTATTTATTTCCAATCCACATTCTTACAGATAAACGTGGAGATAATGCTACATAAATACAGCATAAATAAGCTGTAAGTAAATAAATATTATTTAAATAATATCCGTCATTTTTTTAGGTTTCAAAATGGTCTGACATCATATTATGAACCATGTTTAAGTTACGCTTTATTTTTTGCTAAAACAAAGAGACGAATTTAATAATTTTTCCTCTCTAGAAAGAGAGATCTGATGCTGTCCTAGGAAAAAAAAATGAAAATGGGTTATTAGATTTGTGTAGGCTTAGCTTAACCTAATGACGCAGCGCCAGAAATAAATTGTATTATCTTAAGTTGTATGATATGTATATTTATTGTTATTATTATATGAGGTGGGTGTGGCCCAATGGTTTTGTGCCCCTGATTGTGAATTCAATGATTAAAAGTTCCCGACTCGTTTCTGCAAAAAAAGCGCTCTGCACTCTGGAGCCATGGATGTACAATAAGAGTAATGGTCAAATCCGGTCAGAGTAACCAAATAGAGGCGGGAGCTATTCATTAACTATCTTCCGTGCAGTCCATCAAAATTAGGTATGGTTATGCGCAGATAGCCCTTGTGTAGCTTTGGTCAAAATTCTGGAACATATTATTATGTGCAAAAGAAATTACTTTAACATTTTAATTTGAAATTTCCTTTAGAAATCAATTTTTTTAGAACAGTAAATGCAACATTTACACAAATGATTTAGTGATCTCATGCTCAATCAGTATTGATTGTTTACTATTTTTCTAAACTTACATCTAGATATTTTTCTTTCTTTTTTAAACCTTCCGTATGGTTAGATAACTTATCATGTTTGTTTCATGATCTTCCAGTCACTCAAATTACCATTAGTAATTACTAGTACAAACAGCCGCCCATAGGGCAGCGTTTCTGCTACCACTAATAATGTTCCTAAACTTTCATAATTTCTTCTCATGTTGGAACTAAAGATTATTGTGTTTTTACACCTGTGTAAGTCAATAATCAGTAATAGCCTAACACTATTTTTAGGGTGAACAAGCGAGCAGCTATCTTGCTTTTGGGTACAGGTGGAACTATTCCAGCTCACAGAGAAGGTAAGCTGCATCACAGTTTCTGTGTATAAGGTTTATATAACTGTAGAATAACATCCATGGATCCTACTCACAGAGAAGGTAAGCTGCATCACAGTTTGTGTATAAGGTTTTATATAACTGTAGAATAACATCCATGGATCCTACTCACAGAGAAGGTAAGCTGCATCACAGTTTCCGTGTATAAGGTTTTATATAACTGTAGAATAACATCCATGGATCCTACTCACAGAGAAGGTAAGCTGCATCACAGTTTGTGTATAAGGTTTTATATAACTGTAGAATAACATCCATGGATGTTGATAAATGTCAGAATATTCTATTAAAAAGGTTATTAAGTATTTGAAGATAAGATGGTTCGGTATGTACAAATATTTGTTTCCTGTTCAAAATATAATCTGTAGATAAAAAACATTCATGTTCCATGTAAAAAATAACTTCAAGTATTCTACAGTTTGTCAAGTTCCCATTTAAAAAATTGTATTTATTACTCGACTGATGATTTTAAGTATCCACCTAAAACTCCAAGTGAAATTTTATATTCCAGAAAAGGAAACGTTTCTAAACTTCAAAAGATAAATTTGTTTTTGTTTAAACATTATTTATAGAAAAGATAGTTTATAAAATGTTTTCCAAGATATAGAAAAAACGAATTTTTGTTAACTTATGATATTATGATCTGTCTGATTCAACACTTTTAACTGAAAAATAAATGACATTGGGAGAAACAGGAGATAAATGTTAAACTTTGTTCCAGATCTTGTTCTTTGTTTGTGTAGCACTTATTAACTTTTATTCAGAGCACATGGAAACAGCGTGTTCCATACATGAACCGATCACTCTTCATCCATTTGCATTTCGAACACATACCCATAAACTTGGTAAGTAAAGCCAATTAAAATTGTATTGTAAGAAATGAATACGTCGAGGATTGGAAAGTATCAAATGACACAGTTCTGTGGTGCTACTATAACGTGTGGTCTACATCATCATCAACGTTTTAACTTTCGTTTATTTGCAACTGGCTATATTTGTTATAGATAACACTTTTAAACTAATACAGTACAAAATACCATTACGTAACGTTTTTGTGGCAAATATAATTGGAATGAAATAAATTCAAATAATCAAAACTAACACGATTATAACCTAAATTTAAGGGCCTCTTTTGGAACACACAACTTGTTAAATTATTATTATTAAAAAACGTGGATAGACACAAATTATTTAGCAAAAAATTATGTTTTAATGAATCATTAAAATGGTGATGAAGATAGTATCTGTGTAGACGACACGCTATAGTGTAAATATCTTTGTAGACGACACGCTATAGTGTAAATATCTTTGTAGACTGCATGCTATAGTGTAAATATCTTTGTAGACTGCATGCTATAGTGTAAATATCTTTGTAGACGACATGCTATAGTGTAAATATCTTT